TGTGTTCATGCAGGACAAAGCAACCTATTCAATTACTTGGCCACCCCCTCTTCCAGCTACTAATACCTATCTTCCCTTTACGTCTCCCAAGTTTGCAACTAGTAGATGAGGGACACACATGTAGACAACATGCTCTGCAGAGTGCTGCAGCAAAAACGGGAGCACCTATACTGTGCTAAATATTGGGCATAGCTTAAAGAAGCAAGCTAATGCCTAGTACACACGATGAGAAAATCAGACAAGAAAATACCACTTTCGGAGAGATTGTCCAATAATCTGATCGTTAGTACACAGCTTTCAAGAGCCAATCACAACACTAAAGAAAACCACTAAATTAGGAGGATTTTTTGTTCGAGGCAGAAATGGCTGTATTAAAGCTGTCAAAGGAATTGTGCCATGGATTAAAAAAAAAAAAAAAAATCACTCTTTAATCAGACAGGCCTCTTGCTGTGTGTCAGAGGTATAAGTAGGCTAGTGAAATAATGTAAGTTGAAAAAAAGTGCTGCGCTACATATATAAAATGCACAATTCCTATCAAACTAAAAACCAGAAACTCAGGACAATGAACTCCAAAGAACAGAGATAATGTGCCTCAAAAAAATATATAATACTCAAAAAAAATGTTTATCAACCAATGTCCAATTAATTAATCGTTCTTCTGTGAACCCTCCTTGAGATAACGACCACCGTATGCAACTGTCACAGGATTCCAGTGCAAACTATCCTCCACCATAAATCTGCTCACCTCCAGCAGTGTGACCTCACATTATACAATGTTTTGGTCTAACTGCACTTTTGGTCCCAGACGTATGGGCTCTGAAGATCAACTTGCTGAATAATATCTCCAAGGATATTAGTATACAGCTGAAACTTGAAAACTTAGAATATCGTGCAAAAGTTCATTTATTTCAGTAATGCAACTTAAAAGGTGAAACTAATATATGAGATAGACTCATTACATGCAAAGCAAGATAGCTCAAGCTGTGATTTGTCATAATTGTGATGATTATGGCTTACAGCTCATGAAAACCCCAAATCCACAAGCTCAGAAAAATAGAATATTGTCAAAAGGTGCAATATTCTAGGCTCAAAGTGTCCCACTCTAATCAGCTAATTAAGTCATAACACCTGCAAAGGGTTCCTGAGCCTTTTAAATGGTCTCTCAGTCTGGTTCAGTAGGAATCACAATCATGGGAAAGACTGCTGACCTGACAGTTGTGCAGAAAACCATCATTAACACCCTCCATAAGGAGGTAAAGCCTCAAAAGGTAATTGCAAAAGAAGTTGGATGTTCCCAAAGTGCTGTATCAAAGCACATTAATAGAAAGTTATGTGGAAGGGAAAAGTGTAGAAGAAAAAGGTGCACAAGCAGCAGGGATGACCGCAGCCTGGAGAGGATTGTCAGGAAAAGGCCATTCAAAAGTGTTGGGGACTTTCACAAGGAGTGGACTGAGGCTGGAGTCAGTGCATCAAGAGCCACCACACACAGACGGATCCTGGGCATTGGCTTCAAATGTCGTATTCCTCTTGTCAAGCAGCTCCTGAACAACAAACAATATCAAAAGCGTCTTACCTGGGCTAAAGAAAAACAGACCTGGTCTGTTGTTCAGTGGTCCAAAGTCCTCTTTTCTGATGAGAGCAACTTTTGCATCTCATTTGGAAACCAAGGATTCAGAGTATGGAGGAAGAATGGAGAGGCACACACTGCAAGATGCTTGAAGTCCAGTGTGAAGTTTCCACAGTCTGTGTTGATTTGGGGAGCCATGTCATCTGCTGGTGTTGGTCCACTGTGCTTCATTAAGTCCAGGGTCAACGCAGCCGTCTACCAGGAGATTTTGGAGCACTTCATGCTTCCTTCCGCAGACGAGCTTTATGGGGATGCTGACTTCATTTTCCAGCAGGACTTGGCACCTGCCCACACTGCCAAAAGCACCAAAACCTGGTTCAATGACCGTGGGATTACTGTGCTTGATTGGCCAGCAAACTCTCCTGACCTGAACCCCATAGAGTATGTATGGGGCATTGCCAAGAGAAAGATGAGAGACATGAGACCGAACTATGCAGAAGAGCTGAAGGCCGCTATTGAAGGATCCTGGTCTTCCATAACACCTCAGCAGTGCCACAGGCTGATAGCTTCCATGCTACGCCACATTGAGGCAGTAATTGCTGCAAAAGGGGCCCAACCCAAGTACTGAGTACATATGCATGCTTATACTTTTCAGAGGTCAGATATTGTTCTATGTACAATCCTTGTTTTATTGATTGCATGTAATATTCTAATTTTCTGAGGTTGTGGATTTGGGGTTTTCATGAGCTGTAAACCATAATCATCACAATTATGACAAATCACGGCTTGAATGATCTTGCTTCGCATGTAATGAGTCTCATATATTAGTTTCACCTTTTAAGTTGCATTACTGAAATAAATGAACTTTTGCACGATATTCTACTTTTTCGAGTTTCACCTGTAGGTATAAGTAGCTTTGGATGCCGATACTCGTGCTATAAGGTGTTCCTGCTTCAGTGTTAGGGAGGCCTCATCACTCTGCGGAGTTATGTAGCCCTAGCAAAGTGACAGCCTGAGCTTTTGGCGGGGCTCCATTATTGGTCATTCACCTGAGCTTAGGCTCTGAGTAGTTAGGTTTCAGTGCCAAGTTTGAAGTTTACACAGAAATTCATTTGACGCAACCTCAGTTACAACAGTAATGGTTAATACAGGGCAATTCTGTCTTACGTGTCCATGCTGCTGGCCCTGTAAAAGGGTCCAGGTTTCACCTGTCATGGAGGACATAGGCCCAGAAGGAACATGGCAGGTAGTTTGTTCCAAACATCTTGGAGAACTAACCACAGGTCTTATGTGGATGTAGGCTGACTTAAATCCTTCTATTTTTTTCATGTAATCTTAGACTCAAGATGTTGAGATCAGGGCTCTGTGAGGCCAAAGCATCGCTTCCAGAACATAGTTTTTCTTTATGCTGAAGGTAGTTTTTAATGACATTGGCTGTATATATGGGGTAGTTGCCCTCCTGCAGAATAAATTTGGGGCTGATCGAACACCTCCCTGATGGCATGATAAGCATCTGTATATTTCAGCATTGAGGTCAAAATTGATCTTAACCAAATCTCAAACTACATTTGCAGAAATGCATTCCCAAACTTGCAAGGAACATCCACCATGCTTCACTGTTGCCTGCAGACACTCATTGTACCACTCTCCAGCCCTTCGGTGAACAAACTGCCTCCTGCTACAGCCAAATATTTAAAATTTTGACTCATTTAGCCTTGTTTCCATGTCATAGGTATGGCTTTTTTGGCTGCAATTCTTCCATGAAGACCACCTCTGACCAGACTTTTCCAGACAGTGGATTAGTGTGTACCTGGGTCCCACTGGTTTCCGCCAGTTCTGTCCTGATGGAACTGTTGGACACCTTCTGACATCGAAGGAAAGTAAGCATAAGTCTTTAATGTGCTTCATTACGTTTCCTTGGCTGTTAGCAGTTTCTTTGTGCGTCTTCAAACAAGCTTGAACAGCACATCTTGAAACCCCAGCCTGCTTTGAAATTCTTGCCTGGAAGAAACCACTCTGATGCAGTACAACTCCCAGTCTTGCCATTGTGTATTACCTGTGACATTAATCTGTCTTCCACAACCCCACCTTAGTAGCAAAATGTATCTGTTCCTCACCCGGTTTTAAGCCTTGTACACAGCTGTTTGTTAATGACTGTTTCAACCTACATATGAAATTGATGATTAGCACCTGATTGGAGTTACTGGTTAATCATAAGTATAATTATAGAAAATCCCTGACTGCGCAAGTGTACAAAATGTGTAAGAAGTGATACTGGTTTGAAGCCAAAAGTCACACCAAATATTAAAAGTGATTTAGATTTTTCTTCTGTTTGCTCACTTTGCATTTTTTAAATTGATAAAAATAAAATATATTTTTGAAAGCATTCTTTCTTTACAGCATTTCTTCATACCTGCCTAAACCTGTATTTTCAGAAAGTTGTTAGCAATGGCAGACACTTTCCAGTATATGCTTCCTTTTAAGCTCCTCAGAATAGTATTTATTTAACAATTGTTCATCCATTGTATCAACATTACATACATAAAAAGGGACAAGGCTTACAGACACTTCCAAAGTATACCAACGTTTCATAATTGGAAGTGGTGCATATGATAAATGAAGATGCACTAAAAGTGGTCTCTACAGTGGAGGTAGTCATTTCAGAAACTGATCAGATAATCACCTCCCTAGGAAATGGTGTCACCAAGATGCCATAATAGCACTAGTACTTTGGAAATTAAATTTCTGTCATATCATTTACTGAATGCACAAAATGGCTGTGTAAAGGTGACATTAAAAATCTTTATTTTGGTTTGGTCAGTACAGGCAAGGTAATATTGGAGTCACAGAGTCATATGCATAAACAAAGTACAACAGTTTGAAAACTGAGCAACGGCACACAATTCTAACGTTCAGCCATCTAAAGGAGGAAAAATCAGCCATGAACAAAATGTTTTTACTGAAGAGAGCAAAACTGTGTTTAACACTGAAACTACCAGAGGACTCTAATAGTCCAACCTGTGGTATACCTATGTCACTGGGTAAACTTTGGCAGCCAAACCCACACAGTACCATGAGATTGTTGATAATGTCTAGATAAGATGAAAACATGGGTAGGAATGCCATTACACAGCTAAGAATTTAGATACACGTTGTACAGACATCATTTATGTGAAATATTTTCAAAGTTGTAAATTAGTTCAGCTTTTCATTACCTTACATAAAAATAATCATCTAAACAAATGTAAATTTTCTTCTTTACAACTTTCAACGTAATTATCTGTTAAAACATCCAAATTGGCAGAGTTATTACAGTAAGCAACAATGAAAAACAAAACTCAAAGGCAAAAATTATGACAAAATATGCACTGGACAGTATTAGTTCTGAAATTAAAGGATGTATAAAAGGGAGAAAAAAAAAGTTTATTTATTTTTACAAAACAGAGCCCTGCATATTTGCTCCAGAGTCCAAGCCATTTTGAATGTGACGGGAGCTTACAGTTCGGCTGCCTTTCCCACTCCTTGGCTTCTCCTCCTGAGAGTCATGATTGGAGTCTGTGTCATTAGAGTGGTGGGTTAGAGAGTTCTCACTTCCAGTGGGAGAGTCTACACTCTCATACCCAGTACTAAGCTGATTCATATAGCTTCCTCCACCTCTACCAGTTCTCTCCTCCGAGTGGTTTGGCAATTTGCCCTCATTCACTGGAGATGCAGGAAAGTCATCTTCTGCGTTACTACTCTCTCTATAAAGCCCTGTAGAGCTGTGAGTTCTCTGGTGAGAAGAGCCTCCATTGCTCGGTCCATTTGACAAGCGACTGCATTCCTTACTGCTAGATTCTCCTTCTTCCTTGGTCTCTGCTGGAGTCCTGAGAGCTAAATTTTGAGATTGCTGCTGTTGCAATTGAGATAGCTGTTGTCGAGATTCCTTCAGCTGCTGTTGTAGGACCAAAATAGTGCTCTGCATTCCCTCCACCTCTTCATCTAATTGAATAATGAAGTCATTCAGCTCTGCATAATGGAAAAACAAAGGCATAACATTAGAAACCATACCTAAAATTTAAACAGCAATTTCTTTTTTATTATGGGTAGAGTAAGGGAAGGTTAAAACCCCGTCAGTTTTAATTTTGCCATCTGGTGTCCATTTGGGAGATTCCCCTCACTTAATGTATCATAGGGAAGAAAAAAAAAAAAAAAAAAAAAAAAACAACAACAAAAAAAAAACAACAGGAAGTGTTTCCCTACAAAAAGAGAGGACCACTGGTTGTCAACCAAGATCACCAGAACGAGTTCCCCCACTGGAAGATTTCCACTTTACTCCTGGTGAAAACTCAAAATTTGGTATTACGTGTTACTTTTACTCCTGGTGATAAACAGTAAACAAGACAAATAGAAAGGGTGAATCTTCCCAATAGAGCCACAGACCGCAATAAAAAACCTGAAAGGTGATTTTATCTCTCCCCTTTATCCAAAGCTGAAAATAAAGTTCTGCCTACCGTTCTACTACATAGAAATACAAATCAAACGCCCTATTATACACTGCTCCAAAAAATTAAAGGAACACTTAAAAAAAAAAAACACATCAGATCTCAAATGGGGAAAAATATCATGCTCGGTAATGTGTTAGGAACGTAAGGATACCCCATCGTTTGATGGAAATGAAAATTATTAATCTACAGATGACTGAATTCAAAGACACCCCAAAAATCAAAGTGAAAAAATTATGCAGCAGGCTAGTCCACTTTGCTGAAAATTTCATTGCAGCAACTCAAAATGGTACTCGTTTGTATGGCCCCCACGTGCTTGTATGCATTCCTGACAACGCTGGGGAATGCTCCTAATGAGACTGATGGTGTCCTGGGGTATTACCTTCCAGATCTGGACCAGGGCATCACTGAGCTCCTGGACAGGCTGAGGAGCAACCTGGCGTCGTTGGATGGACCAAAACATGATATTCCCGAGCAGGGGCGGACTGACCATTTGGAAACTCGGGCACTGCCCGAGGTCAGTAGGGGGCGCCATGAGATGCCACTGGTACCTTTCATAGGCTTTTTTTGGGTGTGGTTTGAGTGTGGGCTAGGACACAGGGGCCCCATGATTCCCTATTGCCCGGGGGCCCCATGAGTTGCCAGTCTGCCCCTGTTCCAGAGGTGTTCTATTGGATTTTGAGGTCAAGGGAGCATGGGAGCCATTCAATGGTATCAATTCCTTCATCCTCCAGGAACTGCCTGCATACTCGCCATGAGGCCAGGCATTGTCATGTACCAGGAGGAACCCGGGACCCACTACACAAGCGTAGGGTCTGACAATGGGTCCAAGAAATTAATCCTGATACCTAATGGCAGTCAGGGTGCCATTGTCTAGCCTGTAGATGTCTGCGCATCCCTCCATGGATATGCCAACCCAGACATCACTGACCGACCACCAAAACGGTCATGCTGAACAATGTTACAGGCAGCATAACATTCTCCACAGCTTCTTCAGACCCTTTCACGTCTGTCACATGTGCTCAGGGTGAACCTGCTCTCATCTGTGAAAAGCACAGGGCGCCAGTGGTGGACCTGCCAATTCTGGTGTTCACTGCCCAGCACCATAGTGCTCGATTGGCATTTGCTATTGAACACAGGATCCACGAGAATACATCAAGCCCCCCTCATGAAGTCTGTTTCTGATTGTTTGGTCAGAGACATTCACACCAGTGGCCTGCTGGGGGTCATGTTGTAGGGCTCTGGCAGCGCTCATCCTGTAACTCCTTTCACAAAAGAGCAGATATTGGTCCTTTGGATGGGTTAAGGACCTTCTACAGCCCTGTCCAGCTCTCCTAGAGTAACTGCCTGTCTCCTGGAATCTCCTCCATGCTTTTGAGACTGTGCTGGGAGACACCGCAAACCTTCTGGTAATGGCACGTATTGATGTGCCATCCTGGAGAAGTTGGACTGCCTGTACAACCTCTGAAGGGTCCAGGTATCGCCTCATGCTACCAGTAGTGACACTGACCCTAGCCAAATGCAAAACTAGTGAAAAATAGTCAGAAAAGAGGAGTAGGGAAAAAAATGTCAGTGTCCTCCAACTGTAAGGCCCCATGTACACAGGACGTTTCTGAACGATGGAAACTGACTGCTGGAAAACGTAGGTTAAAAAATGCCTGTTTAGCTGCATTTGCATAACACGTTTATGAGCATTTGCATTTAGAAGCATTTTTTAAAGATAAGCATAGGAGAACCTCCCAAATGCCCAGAATGCACTGAAAAGTGGTAAATTATTAACTATTTCAGACTGTATCAGAGAAGTACACACAGTAGAAGCAGACACAGCAGTATGTGTTGCCATTAGCTAGGTGTGAGTTGCTCATTGTTTCCAAGGGTGGGAAGGTGTCTGCTGGAGTGAGTCATTAAGGTCACCTGGCAGGGGGTCTTCAAGAGAAAGTTGGTATGAATGGTCATTAACAAATATTTTGTTTCCAAGGGTGGGAGAGGTCTGAAGTGTGGATTGGTCATTACAATGTGTGAGAAGCTTGGTAGGAACATCCTGTGTTAAGTGTTTTGTCCATCTGAGCACCTTGAAAACGCTTTGCATGCATTTTTCATGATGAAAAAAAAGGCTCTGGACACCATTGGGAACTGAAAGAGTTAAAAAAAAATTTAATAATAATGTGTACTTGTGAGCTACTATAGTGATATTTAAAAAATGCTTATAAATAACTGACTCCTAAAAATGTGATGGTGCATCAACACAAATACACACTCATAATACTGTGTGAAAATAAAACTAATGAAATATTAAATGTGTCGCGCTCCATCTACTAAACACTGAAATATTTGCAATACTCTCCCCTTCAAACGTGCATTTCATGCACATCTGTGCTAATTAATAATAAATATAAATAAATATTAATCCATAGTGATGTAAATAAATTAAAATTAAATTGTAAAGGATAAAGCACTATGTAGGAATCTTTCTTTTTCATGGTCTAAACTGGAGGAGCAAAAGGGAAGAAGAGGAGATAGGAGATAGATCCCCCACAGGACGAGGGGAGATATCCGCATTCATCCATCTAGCCCTCACAGCTCAGAAGAATTTGGGAGGCCACCCAGTGGAAGGAGAGTAATATTACAGTCCACTCCAACAGCAATATATATATTTTTTTATATATATATAAAGATCAAAATTGGGACACTTATATTATGTCTAGTTAAGGACAATAAGTATATAGCTCCATTTAGAACTTTGGGCTGTATAAGTGAGGTGAGCACACAATATCACTTGCACAGCAAGACTAAATAGAGGTCTTTTTTATTTTTATTTTCATTTTAAATTTTTTTGTGTATTTTGAATTTTGCACATATATATTTTGTTTTGCACATATATATCACCTTAAATGGTGGTTTCTTGTTTATCTAATTTTTATAACAATAATATCACGTATATGGAATTTGAATATATTTATTAGTTTTTTCACATTATTGATCTTATTAATTTATAAAACATTTAGCAATATTGCTTAATAATCAATTATAGCACAGAGGTGTTTTAATTTTATTTTATTTACATCACTATGGATTAATATTTATTTATTTATATTATTTATTATTAATTAGCACAGATGTGCATGAAATGCACGTTTGAAGGGGAGAGTATTGCAAATATTTCAGTGTTTAGTAGATGGAGCGCGACACATTTAATATTTCATTAGTTTAAAAAAAAATTTCAACCGCAAAAGTTTATAAACACGGTTTGCCGTTTTGCATTTGAAAGGCTGATAACATCGACATCTGAACGCAAATTTGTTGCGTTAAAAAGAAAACTGTAAACTCAACTGCATGTAAACGAAGATGTGTACATGGACACATAGGAAAACATTAGGGTGAGTTCAGGGGCTGCTGAAAAAAATGCTGAACAGCTCCTAAACGTGAGTTTAGCAGTTGTAGTGTACATGAGCCCTAAAAGCATTCCTGTTTTGGGTGTCGTCTCATTGTTGCCCATCTAGGGCACTTGTTGTCAATTTTACTAACACCGAAGCAGTTTAAACTGATTAACAACCCCCCCCGCTACTTAACTGACCAGATCAATATCCCAGGAGTTTAATTGGCTTGATACTATGCTCAAAAAAATTAAAGGAACACTTTTTAATCACAGTATTTTCACACAGATTTTGTCAGATCTAAAAAAAAAAAAAAAAAGCAAATACTCTTTGGACAAATGAGAAGACGGATTGTTTCAGTAAAATGCACATCATTGAACCTCACATTAGCTGGCTTCGTTTAACCACCTCCCCCCCGCCATATAAGGTAATGAAGGGCGCAAGGCAGCTCTCTCGTCCTGGGAGGACGTCACATGACGTCCTCCGACTCTAACCACCCATGCGCGGTTATCAGTGTTGTGCTGTGTCCCTCGGACACAGAGATCAGATCATCGATCAATGAAAAGAGCCGAAGATGTCGGTCCCTCGGTCATGTGATCATCGATCAATGAAAAGAGCTGTCGGCTCGGTCAATGTGATCAGCTGCGTCCAAATCACAGCTGATCGCATGTAAACAGGGAAATGCCAGTTTTCGGTATTTCTCTCCTCATGAGCTGTCACGCTGACAGCTCGAGAGGAGAGCCGGTAATCGGCATTCCTCGGAGGGGATATATACACTGATCATCAGGGCACTGATGATCAGTGTGCCCTGATGATCAGTGTAGCCCCAGCAGTGCCACCTGTCAGTAACCATCAATGCCACCTGCCAGTGCCCATCAGTGCTCATCAATGCCACCTGCCAGTGCCCATCAATGCCGCATATCAGTGCCTACCAGTGCACATCAATGCCACATATCAGTGCCCATCTGAGCTGCCTTTCAGTGTCACTTATCAGTGCCACCTATCAATGCCAGTCAGTGCCACCTAACAGTGCCAGTCAGTGATGCTGTCAAGGCCAGTGCCACCAGGTGTTGTCGCCTATCAGTGCTGCATATGAGTGCTGCCTTTCAGTGCCCATCAGTGATGCCTGTCAATGCCCATCAGTGCCACC